TGCTACGAGTTCTGTTTTTATTTCAGAAATAATTGTGGTCTGATTTTCTCTCTATCTTTCTGCTGTTGCTTATTTACTATCTACCCTCTTAATGCATGCATTTGAGCCGAGCTAGCATCCTCTGCACTTGTTTTGTGTGGGCACTGGTTTGCTTCCTTATGTTTGTGCATTTGATTCTTTAGTGCAGATGTTATTATTTCAGGGATTTCTTTTTTCATTTCCAATCTGAGGTCTTGTATATCTTTCTGCAGCTGTTTCTGTATTTCAGAAGCTTTTGATTCATTGCTTTCAGCTGTGTGTTTTGCAATTTGTTCTGTGTTAATGTCCTCTGCACTTTTTACAGTTGTTCTTGGGTTCTGAGGTTGCATTTTGTTCTTTCTCATCATTTTGTGTAGCAGTGTCTTCTGACCTTTGTTGTAGATCTTTGCTGTAGTTATAACTTTCACACGTACTAAAGTTTAGGTTCAGCTCTACAAAGTTTGGACTTATCCAGCTGCATCTGGCTTAGTTCTGGCTGCTGTGCTCAGCTCCTTCTCGCTGCTGTCCTCGAGGGTGAACTTGTTGTGCCCCTGTGGCAAGATGTTCTGACCCTGGACTATTTGGGTGGATCTATCCTCTACACTCTCTGCAGGGATTGCAACTGCAGGGTTACAGTTCAGGCATGTATGCCAGGCCTGAGCTGTACCTGGAGGAGGCAAGGTGAAGAAGGGGGAAGAGGAAGCTCTCCCACCCACTCACCAGACCTGGGCTAGGACTGGGTGTGGGGGTTCTCGGAACGCGGCAGAAATTTCTACTCGGTGGGTGGGGTGGGGGAGGTGCTGCGGTGTGTTGGGGGGCGGCCCGAGGGGGTGAGAGAGGGTTCGGCCCATGCTGCACCTGGCCTTGGGCTTGTCCCACTGTAGCAGTGTAGCAGGAAGCTCTCCACACACTCACCGGACCTGGGCTAGGACTGGGTCTTGGGGTTCCCGGACCTGGGCAGATATTCCTACTCGGCGGGCGCGGTGTGGGATGTGAATTTGTATTTCAACTGCACATGAAATAACTAATTTCAAATTTAGATGAATCATACATAAAATCATACGTAATTATATCATATGTAGGAAAGTAAATATCGCACACAAAATTGAAACCTATTATGTAAGAAAAGGTTGATTACCCTGCTAATATGTTATGATTTCTTGCACAAATTAAATGAGAAAGGGGCCGGGGAGATAGCTCAGTAGAATAAGCACTTGATTTGCAAGTGCAAGCGTCTGAGTTCATTCCCCCATTCCACCAAAAAAAAAAAAAAAAAAAAAAAAAAAAAAAAAAAAAAAAAAAAAAAAAAAAAACAGAAAGAAAGAAAATTTTCTGACATGAGAAAAGCTAGGAAATATGACAGGGGCAATGCCATTTTTTCTGCCCGGACGCGGAATGAAAGGTTGAGAGAGTTGGAGACGTTATCCACTTTCATCTGTCGCGCAGACCCTGTCAGAGTCACTGCCGCTATGGATGATCGGGAGGATCTGGTGTACCAGGCGAAGCTGGCCAAGCAGGCTGAGCGATACGATGAAATGGTTGAATCAATGAAGAAAGTAGCAGGAATGGATGTGGAGCTGACAGTTGAAGAAAGAAACCTCCTATCTGTTGCATATAAAAATGTGATTGGAGCTAGAAGAGCCTCCTGGAGAATAATTAGCAGCATTGAACAGAAAGAAGAAAACAAGGGAGGAGAAGACCAACTAAAAATGATTCGAGAATATTGCAAATGGTTGAGACTGAGCTAAAGTTAATCTGTTGTGACATTCTGGATGTACTGGACAAACACCTCATTCTAGCAGCTAACACTGGCGAGTCCAAGGTTTTCTATTATAAAATGAAAGGGGACTATCACAGGTATCTGGCTGAATTTGCCACAGGAAATGATAGGAAGGAGGCTTCAGAGAACAGCCTAGTGGCTTATAAAGCTGGTAGTGATATTGCAATGACAGAACTTCCACCAATGCATCCTATTCGTGTAGGTCTTGCTCTCAACTTTTCTGTATTCTACTATGAAATTCTTAATTCCCTTGACAGTGCCTGCAGGTTGGCAAAAGCAGCTTTTGATGATACAACTGCAGAACTGGATACACTGAGTGAAGAAAGCTATAAGGACTCTACACTTATGCAGTTGTTATGTGATAATCTGACATTAATGACTTCAGACATGCAGGATGATGGTGAAGAGCAGAATAAAGAAGCGCTGCAGGATGTGGAAGATGAAAATCAGTGACATAAAAGCCAACAAGAGAAATCATCTCTGACCACCCCACTCCTCCCCATCCCACCCCTTGGAGATTTCCCCATTGTCACTGAGAACCACCAAATCTGACTTTTACATTTAGTCTCAGAATTTAGGTTCCTGCCTAAAAATAAATAAATAAATAAAATCAAGAAGATCTGAGCATGATGGCACATGCTTGTAATTCCAGCATTCAAGAGGCTGAGACAACAGGACTGCCACAAACTTGAGGCCAGCCTGAAGTACATAGCAAGACCCTGTCTAAATAAAGACAAAAATAAATAAAAGGAAAAGTTTATGTAGCTTCTACCTATGTATAATCATAAGATTTACTAACATCAGACCACTTTTAGGCACTTATATGTTTATTTATAATTTACAAAAAATGAATGATGCTTCATTTCACCTCTAAAGTTACTACTACTCCTCTATTCTGATAACAAAAATAGTAATAACAAGCAACAGTAGCATGGACAAGCACTGCTACAAATCCTTAACACGCACCAACTCATTACATCTTCACCATTATGCTCTAAGATAGCAGTGCTGTGATATTTGAGAAGACAGACTTAGATTTAATTACCTCGTTCCTGGCTGAGCCTCGCTTTTTCTGTCACTACAATGGGAACACTACTAGTTCACAGCAATGCGGCAAAATGAACCTTACAAATGAGAGACCCAAGTGCTGTGCACATCTACTGCGCCCAACAGTGTCGACACAAGACAAGAAATGCACAAGGCAGTTAAGGCAATGATCCTGAGACTCTTCAGCAGGTTTTTGAAACTAGCAATCAATTGGTAGGATTCTCACCCTGACTAATTATATATGTTGATACCTGTGAACTAAGTAACTGTACAGAAGATAGCAATGTGTAATACTAGGATCATACTTGGAATGCCTGACATTCTGGTCTTCTAAATATGTATTGCTTGTCATGTCACAACAATTACTGCCATACTGCCTCTCAAGTAAATGTTTGTTTAAAAAACAGGGCAATAAATGAAAACGAGAGACAAGAAAAAAAAGTCATAGAACTGTCCTGCTATAATGCTGTAGATGATGAGATTTTTAAATTTCTGTGTAAAAATATGTAATTGTTTATTCCTATTTTATAATTCTTTTTCTTTTTTCTTTCTTTTTCTTTTTCTTATTCACATTCTGTAGGGATTTAAAGATTTTTTTCAAAGTTTTATTGATAAACAGATAGCAATGAGACAGTTTCAAATCAAATTGGAAGTACAGTTTCAACATATAATACACTGCATATATTCTTCTTAGTGGTTAATTGCTGTACAAGATGCGGACTTCTGATCCTATTTACAAACACCATTAGAACAAATCATTCTATTCATTAAGAGAATGCAACTATATATCTATCCCAACCTCTTTG